CAAAAAGAAAAAAAAAAAAAAAAAAAAAAAAAAAAAGAAAAAAAAAAAAAAAAAAAAGAAAAAAAAAAAGATTGGCAAGATTGGCTTCTCTCTATAGGCAGCAAAGCAGCACAGATACTCAGATACTCACAAGTTACTGCAGCAAACCTTGCTTTGCTGGTTTGTTAATCAGTTAAACTCTCCTGCCCCAAGAATAGGTCAACCAAAGCAGCTTTCAACTGGGAGGTCCAGCCCCTGCCTACAGCAGCAGTCCTTTAGCAGTTTACAGAAACAATGCATTAGTTGCTACAGTGAAGCATTTATAATCTGACACCAGGGGAAAATCATACAGTGCTGTACACTGGGCACGCAAACCAAAAAGACCTAAGTATTCTGGCATCAGCACACTTAAGTTGATAAAGATGCAGAACACTATTAATACTTCCCCTGTTTTTCAGCAGATTAAGGTGTCTCTGGACCAGCTACCATCATGCCAGGCTAGCACCACGTCCCTGAAGCATACGCAGCCATGCTGGGAAGGGAGCTCTCTGCCACCATAACTCTCCCAGCTTTGGGATCACAAGTTAGCGCCCACAAATCCATCCAGTCTTCATTATCCCAAATACCCCATGCCCTCAAACCCCAGTCCCCAACATCTAATCCTTAATAACCCATAAAGGATCATGATAACCCATCAAGGGGCAACAGAAAAGCAGTAGATACACCAGCACAACAATGACACTTTTCTAACAACTTACATGGGCAGAAGACATCTACTCAATGAGGGACAGAAAGAGATGTGATAGCGATCTTGAACCTTGTTTCTCATCAGCTTGCAGAGATCACCAGCACCACCCAAATGCAGCAGGGAACAGACTTCTGCTTTCCTCTGCGGGCGCTTTTTCACTCTGCACCAAAACACCTTCCAAAAACCAGGTAGCTGATCCTCAGCACTTCAGAGGCTAGGGTGCCCTGTCCTTGTTATGCGCTATGAAGGTTAGTCAGTGAGTAACTGTGAAAAGCAAGACCAAGCATGGAAGGTCCACGCCACCTCCCCACCGTGCCCTGGTCCCTCCAGCAGAAGCAAGTATTCCTCCTCACCCCAGCAATATGAAGACAAGCTAAGATCAGCCATGGTAGAGCCCAGATGGTCTGTTTCCAGATAATCCATGGGATGCTGCTGTCACTAAATTAGAGCCGTATACAGCCTCCCAAAGCCACAGCGCTTATTTGTGTGACCATAAAAAGCTCAGGATTTCCCTGTGACCTTGCTGATAGCAGGAGTCCAAAATAAGTCCACACCTCCCTTCCTGTACCCTGCCCATTTGCTTGCAGGTCTTGGCCAGCTGTCTCCAATACACATGAACTATACTCCAAAAGCTGGAATGAAACAATAAACACTTTTGTCCCCACCCTCAATTTCTGGTCATCCCAATTCACTAGAATTGATATTATACAAATATGCAGATTCTAGGAAACTGCTGAATTCAGAACATCTGCTGAAAAAAAAAAAAAAAAGAAAAAAAGAGAGATGTGCGAAATTGAGGACATACTCATTTGCTCTGGAAACCTCATCTGTGAACTGTGATCATCCATCAAAGAGGAGAAGCCATTGCACATAAGCGGGTGACTATTCAGAAACCAAGCAAAGCTCTAAAACGGTATTTTAGCCCCAATAACTACTCGCAACAAGCCAGTTGGGAAGTATTTACTTTTAAAAAAAAAAAAAGTGGAAAGAGCACTGTTCAGTTCAGAACAGTGGGATAT